TCCTTATATTATCAATTATCGCCACTGAAAATCAAAATATTTTTATTTCTAAATTGTCAGTGCATCAAATTTTTATTTGCAAGCTATTTATTCTAATTTGGCTGACGCTAATTTTCCCTCAAAGCAGCGCAAATTTTAATTCAGTTTTTGGGTTTTCCTTGGAAAGAATTAACAACAGTTAATGGCAAAGGGCTAGGTTATGAAGGCCAATTTGAGTCTGATTTTATTTGCTTAATAACGTTTAAATGCTTAAACCAAGATTTAAAGGCTTTATGTAAAAGGAGATCCTGCTACAAATCAATGAAGATTTTGTCTAGCAATGCTCTAGGAAAGATTTTGAATGTTCTTAATTTCAAGGCCTACTTAAATTAATCATGAATATGGATATTTAAAATAAATAGATATAATATAATCACAATTTAACATGCTTTAAACTTCACAACATTTCATTCAACACATGCTTTAAATTTTTATTTGTGTGCAACCTATACCAACAACAACGACAACAACAAAGCCTTAATCCCACTACATTTGTGTCCTATTTAATGTCATATTTTCATTTAGTTCTATTAAATTAAGATCATTTTTTATACAATAAGCCCAAGTCTTTCTATGGCTACGTATGCCTTTCTTAACATAAGTTGAATCTAAAACATCTACTCTCCTAATCGGATCATCAGATGGTCGACGTTTAATGTGACCAAACCATCTAAGATGACTTTCTCTAATTTTGTCCGTCACAGGAGCTACACCAACTCTATCACGGATATATTCATTTCGCATTTTGTTTCTAAGTGTGAATCCACTCATCCACCTAATCATTTTCATTTCGTCAACACTTAACTTAGTATTATGCTTCGCTTTTAAAGGCCAACATTTAGTGCCATAGTATTTTGGTGCACCCTATACCAAATGGATAAATTTATTTTGCATCCGTCTCTTGGCTGACAGTGGTACGAACCAGTCTCTAAAAATATTCATGAACTTGTCCTACTGTATCATGTGGTTAGCTCTATCCCCTGCAAATGTCTTCGCCGCCATCTTTTCGCTTCTCCTTTTCAGTGCAACTCTCCTATCAGGTAGATAAGACAACCCATTTAGAAACTTTTCGACTCTCAGCAGCCAGTTCTCAGCATCCACAGAACCGCCTTCAGAAAAGTGAGGTGGTCACATATCCTGAAATAACTTTGAATACTTATAAATCTAGCCTCCCCCACTAGAACTGGACTGAGTTTGAGAATTCTTAATCATTTGAGTCACTGCGCAGCATATATATGTTACTTTTGCTCCTTCCGCTTCCTTTTCTCTTTCGACTTCCTTCGCTCACAGACAAGTCGTGTTTTAGGGCTGGAATTGAACCCTCCTTGACCTCTGTGGCTTTGTTTCTTCTCTCGCTCTCTCGGTCTATTTGTTCGTATTCAGGAGTGCTTTATAGACCTGCAGCGGTTGTGGCAAGATCTTGATCACTTGTCACCTTTGTCGAGTTGTGGTAATCCAAGGTGTACGAAGGGAGAGATATTTGCATAGGAGAAGATTATGAAGTTTCTGGCTCATCTAAACCTGGCATTTGATCAGAGGAGATCGGTTCTCCTAGCTCAGGTGACTATTTCTACACTAGATGAGGCCATTGTTGTGATGATACAGGAGAGTCACATGAAGCTACACTCTGAGCCGAGTGATTTTTCAGGTGCCCAATCAGCATTGGTTGTTGCGAGCCCACATTGCTAGGTGTTCAGGGGGGACTCGCAAGTGCTAAGCTATGGTGAAGTTGGCCATCTGAGAAAGGTCTGTTCTAAGCCACCTAAGGAAAGAGACGCAAGTGGATGTTGGAGCTCGTGGTCGTGGGGTCGGATAGGTGGAAGAGGGGACTACCGGACAAATCTAATGGTAGTAGATGACGAGAGAGATATAGCTGTGATCTTTACTAGTGAGGATCACGAGTGTCTGGAGATGTTGAAAAGGAAGCAGAATATAATAAGAGATGGAGCTGAGAATGTTTCAAATTCATCAACATTAAGGGGTAATATTGTCACTTATGCTTGCTCAGCAAAGTTACTGGTGACACACTTTCTCTTGCCTTTGTTTCCACCACAAAATTATCACAATGTACCCTAGAATCTGGTGTTTCTCGTCACGTGATAGATACTGCTGGAGAGTTCTCTTTATATACTCATTTAGCAATACCATAGAGTATACAAACTGTTGATTGTACAGTGCAGTCTGAATAATGGATTGTTGAAACTAATTCATTTAGCTATTGGAGAGCAGGTGGCTGACATTAGCTCAGTGGAGTTGACTAGACTATGTGATAAGATGGGCATAGTTATTATCTTTCGCCTATCTTGAGGGGAAATGTTGAGATGTATCTAATGTAGGGTTCTATTTATAAATAGAAGTAGTTTAGAAATTTATTTGTAAATGTTGTGAGGCTCTATGTAAGCCGAAATGTTAATAAAATAATTTGAGCTATCCCGAAGTGTTAATGAAATTAAATACAAATGAACTATTAGTACCATATTACTATTACTATTACTATTACCGTACCCTATTACTATTACTATTACTATTACCGTTCTGTTACTATCTACTATTACCATTACTATTACTATTACTACTACTACTACTATTATTATCTACTATTACTATCCCCTATTACTATCACGTTACTATTATTATTAGTATTATTACTATTATTATTACTATTATTGTTATTATTTTCTTATTAGTTCATTTAATTATTATGAGGTACTATTTTTTCTTTGTATTTGACCAATGTTTATTTCAATAATGTTTTTTTTTTTTTAAATATTACTCCATTTCCACATCTCTCTTAGCCCCTCCTATACAATTCCATCCCTTCACCCATAGTAAATTTTCCTCTCTTTCTCCTCTCCCTTTCTCTTTCTCCTTGTTTCTTTCTCTTGTTCTCTCTCTCAATTTTCATTCCTTGTTTCTTCTCTTTATGGTTCTCTATATTTCTTTCAAACTTTTTATTTTGATTTCCCTCTCATGCCTTGTTGTCTTCTTCCCAATTTTTTATTTTTCGCTTCCCACTAGGCTTTTAGTGGGATTAAGGCTTTGTTGTTGTTGTTGTTGTTGCTTCTTACTAGGCCTCTCTCTCTCTCTCTCCCCCACTAGGCTGACCATTGAAGTATCTGATTTCTACCCTAACGCTACATTAGGTGATAGGGAGAAATTGATCCACAAAGAAAATGTTAAACAAACGTCATAGCTTTTTTCCAATGTCAATCATCTTCAATTAAAATTTAATGCTTACCGATTATAAAAATGACTACATTTTTTATTAGTACAAGAAGGATAGTTGATCTTCATGGAGTCATAACTCTGGTTTTTCTCTAAATTTGTAGTGAAACAAATGATGGAAGCGTGAAAGCGTGGAATAAAATGATTTTTTAGGAAGTAATGTTGATTGAGTGAACAAGATTGGCAGAAGAGAGGATCTGGCACCTTATGACCACAACCTTAAAAGCTCTCTTCATTTGGGGATGCAATCCAAATTCATAAATTGTATTGTTGGGGCAAACAACCTTAGGGAACCACCACAGTTCGATTACCAAATTATAACTCACAAGTATGGTTTTTAGATCATTTCAATTCATGTTTAACTTGTCATCTTAAAATGAAAGTTTAGAGGTCCAAATCTCACCCTTATGTAGAGTCAAATCCCAAAAGGCTTTGACTCTACATAAGTTTTTAGATCATTTTCTTATTAGTTCATTTAATTATTATGAGGTACAATTTTTTCTTTGTATTTGACCTATGTTTATTTCAATAATGTTTTTTTTTTTTTTTTTTAATATTACACCATTTCCACATCTCTCTCAGCCCCTCCTATAGTCCTATACAATTCCATCCCTTCACCCATAGTAAATTTTCCTCTCTTTCTCCTCTCCCTTTCTCTTTCTCCTTGTTTCTTTCTCTTGTTCTCTCTCTCAATTTTCATTCCTTGTTTCTTCTCTTTATGGTTCTCTATATTTCTTTCAAACTTTTTATTTTGATTTCCTTCTCATGCCTTGTTGCCTTCTTCCTCCCAATTTTTTATTTCTTGCTTCCCACAAGGCTTTTAGTGGGATTTTTAGTGGGATTAAGGCTTTGTTTTTTTGTTTTTTTTGTTGTTGCTTCCCCCTCGGCTTCTTTCTCTCTCTCTCTCTCTCTCTCTCTCTCTCTCCCTCCCTTCCACTAGGCTGACCATCGAAGCATGTGATTTCTATCCTAACGCTACATTAGGTGATAGGGAGAAATTGATCCACAAAGAAAATGTTAAACAAACGTCATAGCTTTTTTCCAATGTCAATCATCTTCAATTAAAATTTAATGCTTACCGATTATAAAAATGACTACATTTTTTATTAGTACAAGAAGGATAGTTGATCTTCATGGAGTCATAACTCTGGTTTTTCTCTAAATTTGTAGTGAAACAAATGATGGAAGCTTGAAAGCGTGGAATAAAATGATTTTTTAGGAAGTAATGTTGATGGAGTGAACAAGATTGGCAGAAGGAGGATCTGGCACCTTGTGACCACAACCTTAAAAGCTCTCTACATTTGGGGATGCAATCCAAATTCATAAATTGTATTGTTGGGGCACACAACCTTAGGGAACCACCACAGTTCGATTACCAAATTATAACTCGCAAGTATGGTTTTTAGATCATTTCAATTCTTGTTTAACTTGTCATCTTCAAATGAAAGTTTAGAGGTCCAAATCTCACCCTTATGTAGAGTCAAATCCCAAAAGGCTTTTAGTTAATAGTTAAACAAGTATGGAAGTGATCTAATCACTTTACTTTGTAGTTGTAGCTTGGGTATGAAATTTTGGATGATGGTTGGAGTTTCAATCTCAATTAAAACTTTCAAAGTGTTCATTCTTTGTGTAACTGCCAAGTCATATACTTGTTATTTGTGTGCTTGTTTGAGAGTTTAGTTTGGTTTTCTTATTGGTTATTATATATATATTTTTTGTTTTTTATTTTTTTGCAGAAATCGCCAAGTACTAGTCTGCCAGATGGCTGGGAATGGGTTGATGAATGGCAGGTTGATGCTAATTCCACAGAAACACCTGATGGGTGGGTTTATGCACCCGATACTGAACATCTGAAGTGGCCTGATTCATTGGATCACAGGACTTTCAGTAATTATGCTAGACAAAGAAGATGGATTAGGCATCGAAAATACACATCTCATGACGCAGACAATGAGATTGCAGTTGGATTACTTGAACCAGGTCATACTATTCCTCTCCCTATGTCTTGCTTTGATCATCCTGTGATTTCTTATGTCTTACAGTTGAGGCCAGAAGTTTCCTATGAAACAAAAGAATATTCTTGGAGTTCTGTAGTGGATAAATATGTGCTGAATGAGAACGTGGATAGTTCTGGAACCTCAGAAATATGCGTTTCTGCACTTATTGAGGCTGATGAGCTTTTATACTGCTCAGAATTAAGTGAGGTTCCTTCAGATAAGGATCTTGGTTTGTGGTTTTGTTTAAGCATTCAGGCCACGCAAATTGGAAAAGATATTCAATCAAATCCCATACATGATTGGAAACTCACTATTAGTTCACCTTTGTCGATAACTAATTTCCTCCCTTTTTCTGCCGAATTTTCTGTTATTGTTAAGGAGGGTGGAGAAGGCACTGCATGCTCTCAAGGTACTCTTGTTCCTGGTAAACCTGTAAAGATCTATAATGCTGATCTGCGAAAACCATTATACTTATCGGTTGTCCCGCAAGGAGGTTGGGATCTAGTTCATGTATGACCTAAATCCATTAGTGACTTATTATTTATTTACTTCTATTTTATTTTTGTCTATTATTTTGCCATGTATTTTTTATCACTTCTAACATAACTTTGTTTTACTGAAGGAACTCATTCCCATATCAAACCCAAGAAAAATGTCAACCAAGATGATGAGTCTAAGGAATTCTTATTCTGGAAGGTTTGCCTCTGAATTGCAACCAGATTATTTTATTTCTCTTGTTGAGCTGCCTTTTTTGGGTTTCTTATAAACTTCTACCATGATGCAGGATTGTCATGGTCGTCGTTGAACAGAATTCAGACAAGGATAGCTTAATTGCAAGAAATATTCGAATATATGTACCTTATTGGATTGCAAGTGCAAGATGTCCGCCTCTTACTTGTTACTTTATTGACAAGTCTGCAAGGAATAAGAGACATTTCTCCATCTTTTCACATTCTAATATGAAAACACAAAAAGTTTTTTGGCAAATCACTGACGAAGAGATGACTAATGGATACACCATAGCTTCTGCGCTTAACTTCAAAAATCTTGTCATATCTTTGTCTTTAGAAAAAACTGGGAGAGAGCAGTTTAGTTCCGTTAGTGATCTATCCCCACTTGGTGACATGGTAAATGCTTTGTACGGTACCTTATTTTGTAACGATGGTCTTTTTCAGAACTTTCATTCCTTCTATTTATCTATTTTAGGGTGGCTCGGTTGATCTTTATGCTCATCACGAGGATGGAACATGCATGAGGATATTTATTTCCTCCAAGCCATCCCCATATGAAGCTGTTCCCTCGAAGGTATATATCACACTAATTTGCTTGCCAGGTTGTTAGAACATCTTTTTTTACTTCTAGTTGTTTTCAGGTTATTTTGGTGCGCCCATTTATGACATTCACAAATAGGCTTGGTAGAGACGTGCTCATAAAGTTCAATATTGACGATCAGCCAAAGGTTCTGCATGCTACTGACACAAGGGTCTCTTTTGTTTATCGTGAAGCTGGAACTGAAAAAATTCAGGTGCTTGTCTGGCTTTCAAATTTTTTCAAATATGATCCTTTTTTTGGGAAATTTTTTGGGTTTACCACAAATAATTATTAATTTCTAGAGTTAGTTTTTAAAATCTGCTCGTTCTTTTGATTTATTCATTGTGGCTGATTATTCTTCCCAACAAGACATTAAAATAATTATTTATTTGAACTGACTTGGTATATTTCAGGCTATTTAAACCATGTAGTATTGACTAATTTTTAATCATAGTCTATTCATTGGATTTAGTCATTTCATACTATTAAAAATTGCATACATTTCTTTCATATCCTTAGTCTTCTTAATTTGCTATCTAAATTTTCCATCTTAGGTTGGTTTTTTTCTCCGATTTTTTGCATTAATAGTGAGATTGACTGTAGTTTTTAAATAGTCTTTTGTACCTCAATTCGGATTTATTTTATTGATCCAACTTTTTTTATACTCAATTTGTTAGTTTAAAATCAGCACTCCAATTGGTCATGATATTTTCTGTTGAATGTCAAATGCAAGCGTATCACCTAGCATAAAAGGATGTGAGCTTATTGTTCTCATAAATGCTTTTGTTGCCCTTATTATTCATTTCTTTGTGACTCGTGTATACCCTTTTTCATTTCTCTGAAAAGAACTAATTTATTTGAAATCATTAGAAGTAGCAAGCTTAATGTTCCATATGGGCTCCAAAATTTTGTTCTTGGCTCTTCTAAGAAAGTTTTGTTTTTGGTTAAATTTTGAGAAGATGGATTGGATTTTATATAAGAGACTTTCCAAGGACTTTACACTCATTTTATGAGCTTTAAGATTTAAAAAAAACACGACACACAAGGGAGGGAGGGAGCGTGCGAGAGGGGGTGAGGGGGGTGCGCGAAACGATAATGCAAGAATGGTGGCTTGATGTCCTGGGTGGCAGCATGCAGGAAAGAGCGAAAACAGCAAGAGGGCAGCATGACAAGTGACGACTTGTTGCTGTTTGGGTGGCAGCAGCAAGATAGGCGGCTGGACAGCAAGGAATGGCAGATCAAATAGCAGCAGTTTGCTGTTTGGGGGTGGCAACAACAAGATAGAGGGGTTTTGGGGTGGCTGTGAGGGTTGACAGCTGGTAGAAATGGCTGGGGCAGCAGGGTAACTAGGGAAAGCTGGGAGTGCTGGAATGGGTAAGGACAGTAACTCCTCACTGTTCGAGGTGGTGGCAGCAAGCTGAAATTCAGATGGCAATGGATGGAAGATATGAAAACTGCAGGGAAACAGCAACATGTGCTTGCAGCAATGGAGGGCTGTCGGAAGCGATGTGGGGAGGATGCTGAAGGGGTGGGGGAAGATAATCACCACCTTCAGAGAGAGATAGAACCGGAGCACCGCCCAATTCCTCGGATACAGCCCTCAAAAGGAGAAACATATACCGAAAACTGTCCTAAACAATATCAAGCTAAAAACTGCCCTAAAAAATAAATAACATATATATTCGTAAGGTAAAGAGCAGTGAGTCCCACTCCAAATAGGAGGGAACCGTGTGCAAGGAAGGGTGGCTCGATCTTTCTCACACTAAACCGAGCCAGTCGTGTGCGGCTCATGCTGCTGTAGAGTACATTTTTCTGGTTTTTTGGACAGCCCCCAGCTTTCAGCCCTGCCTCCCGGTTGCTGCAAATCCCCCACTTCCACCCTCGTGCTTTAACAGCAACCTCGTCATCCGACCCCATCCAGCTGCCCTTCACCACTTTCACCTTCGCCCTAGAGTATCCTTTTATGTTTTGTTGTCTTTTACTTCTTGTTTTGAAGAGTTGTTGTTGTAGCCTATTCAAATTTCAACAATAGTATTTATATTTTAATTGTATCGTTTGGTCGTGGTTTGGGTTAACTCCGATTTCACAACACGCCTCTTTTTCAAGAGGAATAATATAGCCCAGTTTAACTATAACTCTTGTAACTGATTATCAAGCGACATTAAACATTTCAACATTTACTTCCAAAGGTTTACTAGAAGTAGAGCCCAATGAATATTAGATAGATTGGTTGAAATATCTCAAATTAAAGTCAGGAAATACAACCCAAATTGAAATGATAAGTGCTTCCTTGGAAGAATTGAAGTGAGGAAACCCTGTTGAATAATTTATGATTGACGTTGTCATATTTGTGGGAAAATTGAAATTTCAGTGAAGTTACTTTTTCTTACATTGTATTTTCTTTTAGTGGTTTTCTTCTACTATGCAGATCGTGTTCAATTCATTTTTAGTCTGATAGTTAATCTGGCAGCCAAGCAAAGCCACTTCTGTTATTCTACTGGTTTGGATTGACGGCAAATAGAACTCTTCTGGTTTAATGATAACTTTCTACGTTGTTATATTTTGCTAAAAAAAATTGTTTTAACTCTTTAAGGTTTGCCTACAAAATACGAACTGGTGCTTACCTTTGGAAATTGAGAAGGAAGACACTTTCACTATCGTATTGAGGGAGCACCATGGCGGTAGGATTTATTTGAGAGCTGAGGTTCGTGGTTATGACGAGGGATCACGATTTTTAGTGGTGTTGCGTATGGAACCAGAAAATGGTCCAATCAGGTTTTTTTTTTCTTAATTTGTTCACCAGTTAAACTTGCTAACGTCATTGTGGGGCATTATGCACTTCTGTTTATACATTATTGTACTTTTGTAAACAGAATTGAGAACAGAATGGCTGATAGGACACTAAAAATCCGCCAGACTGGTTTAGGTGATGATACTTGGATTCAGTTGGAACCTTTATCAACTTCGAACTTCTCCTGGGAAGATCCTTATGGCCAGAGGTGTATAGATGTTAGTATTCAAGGTGGAGCTTATGTCCATAAGATCAGTTTGGATGAAGGTAAGGAATCAACAGATCTGAAGGCTCATGGAGTTAAACTTTGTATTGAAGAAGCTGGAGATATAAAAGTTGTAAGATTTCTTGATGAAGAAATAAGGTTGCTATCAGGATCAAAGAAAATAACATTACCACTTGATAAAATAAATGGCTCATCGTCGAAGAAAGAGATGCAAGTCAGCACCTCACCCCTGGAGCTTATAATTGAGCTGGGGGTTGTTGGCATTTCCTTGATTGATCATCAGCCTAGAGAGCTCTTGTATCTGTACTTGGAAAAAGTCTTTATTTCATACTCAACAGGGTATGATTCTGGGAAAACAAACAGGTATTCCTGTTATGAATGAGACTTTAATATTTGAATAGAATCTAATAATCAGATTTTAAAGGCCTTTTTTGTTAGTTCTTAGTCAGTTATTAGAATATCTAACAGAAGTTATTGTAGATTTCTCTTTCATATACTTTTTTTAGTGCGCCTCATTCATATACTTGTTTTTAGTGCTTCAGTTCTTCTAATTTTTTATTTCAGTCTAATATGCTTAAAATTGGACTCGGACAAAGGAACCTTTCAATATTGTCGGTGGATGAAGCTGAAATCTTTTTTTAAGTACTGAGGCTAAACTATTGTTGTCAGTTTACATTTCTTACTTTTAAAGTATTTTCCATAAGTCTAATGGTAATGGTGAAAATTTGATAGAAAGCCCTAAGTGGAGAAAATAAATATGAAAATAAAAAATGACAAGCTTACTTAGTAGAGTTAAAATGACTCAATCCAAAATAAAAATTAACAAATTATGAAATTTTCTCAATTCTTTAAAAAAGATCTTATATTTTTAGTGTCTTTAATAGTTCTTTTCTTTTCTAGATCCAAGATTCATTGGCAATTATCACATAACAAGTTTTATCAACATATTTCAAACGTACAAACTCTGTCTGAACTGTATAAAAATAAAAGTTGCAAATGAATCTTTAGCAATTATTGGTAGGATGATATCTCAATTTCTTCTGATTCAACACTTATTAATGTATTGCATGTTCCACACCTCACAGATAACTATCTATCTCCTAAATGTTTTTTACTTCAATGAATGTAATTTTTGATAAAACTCATAGCTTTTTCGCTCAAAACATATTTTCGAGAAAAGAATAAACAACTTGAAAGTAAGTTTGTTGATTTTTTTTCATTTTGATATTCTTGTAATCTAAAATTCAACAAATACCATTCTTGTATCAATTGTACCCATTCAGGTCTATATGAGAAGGAACCGGCTCGTCTAGGTTCTCCATCAAGTCCCAGACCTAGGACCCTTGTCGGGTAACATTGATCAACCCACAATTACTCATTTATATCTTATTTCCTAGTACTCCATTTATAAATTTTCTCCTTCTCATAGAGTATTTCTAACCAACATCAATATCAACCTCATTTTTCATCTTAAAAAGTCTATTTGACATACTTGAAAATAGAAAGTAGAGTAGACCATGAGAGAAATGATGATGCCTTAAAACAATATTATACATTGGAGATGCAGATGAATTTTCACGATTAAATACAAACCAAATGAAAATCTGGAAAGTTACAAAGTAAGATCGGTGGCCAAAAAATATATGCAATCATATGGGACTGATTATCAAGAAACACTTGTTCATGTTGTGAAAATGAACACTTCATATTTTAATGTCTCTAATGGCATCATGTGTGATTTATACAATAATATAAAAAATGCTTTCTTGCATTAAGCATCAAAGAAAAAATATATATGGATTCATCATTCGTATTTGATACTTCCTTCAAAAGAATGAGATATACAAATTTAAAAAAGTCTTATACGGACTAAATTAATCACCAAAAGCTTGGTTTGATACATTTTTAGATGTTATGAAATAAGTTGGATACAAACAACATCAAGAGGACCATACTCTATTCATTAAACACTATCTTGGTAGTAAAATTTCAATCCTTCTTGTATATATTGATGATATGATTATTAAAAGGGATGATAATCAAAAGAAAAATCTCTCAAAAAAATGCTTGCTTAAGAGTTTGAAATTAAAGAGGTAGGAATATTGAAATACTTTTCTTGGAATATAAGTTACTCGGATAAGGGATATTTTTCTCTCAATAGAAATATATTTTGGACCTATTAAAAGAAATCGAGGTTGTCGAGTGCAAGTCGTATGAAACTCCAACCAAATAAGTACAAAAGCTAGACATTGATGAAGAAAGTACTGATATAGATTAGTAGGAGAATTAATCTACATACACTCATCCTTACATTGCATTCGTAGAAAGTTTAGTCAGCAAATTCATGCACTAACCCAAAGACTTATACCTTCAAGCAGCTTATAGAATTCCCATATACCTTAAATCAAGTGTAGTAAAAATTATTTTAGACAAAAGTTATAATACTCTACAAATTAAAGGATACACAAATGCAGCAATGTTGGATCATCAGTGGATAGGTTCTCTTTAGTCTTTACATTCTTATGAGGAAATCTCATAACTAAAGAAGTAACAACAACTTGTAATTTTAAGCTCATGTACTGGAGCCGAGTTTCAAGTCATTTCCCTAAGAGATTTATGTGGTTCTATGGATTAAAATCATATCAAAGATTTTAAAATCAAATAAAATAGCTTTTGAAAATATATTGTAATAATAAATTGGTCATTATAATTGTGCACAATCAAGTACAACATGATTGTGCTAAGCATGTTGAGGTTGATAAACACTTCATAAAAAAATTAAAAATTGCATAATTTGCGCTTTTTATGTGTCAATTAGGAATCAATTAGCCGACATATTCACCATAAGACTCTGTAGCCCATCATTCAAAAATATTATAGATAAACATAGAATGGTAGATCGTCGACATCTAGTTTGAGGGGGAGTGATAAATTTCTTTCTTTCTTTCTTCCTTAGTGGGGCTCACTCATTCTTCAATCATAGCAAAGAATTTTATGGCACATGGATCAAGGTCTTTCACCATTGGATCAATTTTTCTATGGTTCTAAGATTGCAATCTGTGTTTCTTTATAGGACCGCCAATTCTTTTTTATTTTCCCCCTTTTTGTTTTATTCTTATTTTTTAACGCTCTTAAAGGTTTGTATATACTTGACGTGGGGCGTGTGACTGTCGTGAGCCTGCGGCTCACAAGCCACGAGTTCTGTAGAACAGAATCAACACGATTTTGTGGTTACTGGTATCACAATCGTGGGATCGGACCACGTTTAATCTGCGATAGTTTCCTGCATAAGCAAGAACCGAGCGAGCTTCTGTCCCGTTCTACACTGAAAAAGAAGTTTTCTTTTCTATTGTTGATATTGGTCCTTATAAGGCCTAGATTTCTTATATTTCTGAATTAGAATCAAGGTTTTTTATTTATTTTTTTTATTTTTTGCTTGAGGCACTATTTATATATTATATTCTAGTTTTACAGACTTTTGCTTTGTTTCGATTTTATGGAGATTGTAATATCTATTTTCTATCGTAAGGACTGTTTCATTTTTTTTTTTTTTTGCAAGTGATGTGTTTGTATCTTGCTCAAAAATAGGTGTGAACTTCCTTGTCGCCTGTATTTTGTTGCTTTGCTATTCGGCCTACTGTTATCAGCCAGGATAGCCGCCGAACGACACTTATACCCTTCCAAAAGCCATCGATTTGTATATTTTATTTGCCTCGCTATTCGACCACTTCTAAATCTACTTCAAAAATATCTTTTGAGAGCCCTAGAATGGTATCAATACCTTTCCTCTTGTATAAAGAGAGCTTAACAAAATATCGTTGGAGTTGTCTCCATTGCTATAATTGAAATAATTGTTCTGAAAATCTTTGTCATTCGTTAAAGACTTTGGCTTATATAGAGTCTTACAGCCATGGTTTAAAAAAGGGACCGAACTTGCCGGTTGTTCAGATTTGCTGGTGGTCCGGTTCTGGTTGGCTTAAAACCCGCTCTTGCATCGAATCGGATTGAACCGGTTCGAACCGACCTAGAACAATCAAAAATCGGAAATAACCGGTCGGTTTAACCTCTAAACCGGTTACAATAAATATTAATTTTTTTTTTAAAAGGTGGACAGCCAATGTGCTGTTGTTGTAGCTATCGTATACTCCCGTTTTTTTTAATCTAAAGGAAAGGTTAAACTCAAGATTTAAAGATGTGGGACTAAACTATAAAAGCTAAAACAATTTAATAATATATTTCTTTGCCCTTATTTGCTTGCACAAAATTTTTTTTTTTATATTATTTTCTTTTATGATTTAGGAAACCGTGAAATACAAATTGCCAAATATTATAATTAAATATATATTAATAGATTGAATGCTATATGTGAGTTTCAATCTCCGCTTGGCTTATGAACTTTGGAACATTTACATGCATACCACTTGATTGTTATCTTTTTACATTTCTAACACCTAAACTTTATTTTTTATAAACATATCACCTTCCCTGTGAAATGAAAAGGTGAAGTTTGGTTTTTAAAAATTTAAATAGTACTTATTGGATTTTTTATTTGATATGAGAAAGATTTGGGTGGTATAAATGTAAAAAGCAAAGAATAGGTGTTAGATATGTAAATACATAAGACATGGGTGGTATGTAAGTAAATGCCCGTAAATTTTTTTAAAAGTTACTATAGTGTTATTCTTATATTTCATATTTAATTATTTTAAATTAGTTGTTATTAAAACTTTTAAAATAACATTATAAAATTATTATTATGTTATTTAAATATTGAGATATTTATTTTATATTTCACAATTATTTTTTTTAAATTACATCATTTTTGTCACATTTAAATAAATTTATAATTTAGTAAGTCATCTGATTGAATTTCGGTTCAACCCCGGTTCAAACTTTGAACCTTGAACCTCTCCTTTTATCGATTCAATGCTTGCTCTGGTTTTATGAACATTGTTTACAACTTTCTTTACAAATATATCCCTAGACATCTTTTATATTTCTTATTTACAAATAGGATCCTAAACTATATATAATTATCAACACTCTCCCTCATGATTGGAAAAAAGATATTCACTATGTCCATCTTGTCACACGACTTGGATAGATCTAATGAGCTAAGTCCCTTGGTGAGGCAGTCAGCTACTTGTTGTCTTGTAGTTACATGACTGAGCTCTAGTAGTCCACTATGCTGCATCTCCTTGATGAATAACCTATCAATCTCCACATGTTTGGTTTTGTCATGCTGCACCGAGTTGTTGGAAATGTTGATTGCTAACTTGTTGTCACACCACAACCTCTTTTGAGCTCCTCAATCCACCTTGAGCTCTACTAATAAAGCTCTCAACCATAATATCTTGGCAACTCCTAAGGTCATGGCCCAGTACTCTGCCTCTATCGTCGACCTCACAACTATCAACTGCTTCTTGCTCTTCCAAGAGACTGAATTGCCCCTTACAAACATGCAGTATTCTGTTGTGGACCTTTTGTCATTAGCATAGCTAGCCCAATCAAAGTTATAGTAGCCCTCAATACCTAAATGCCTATTTTTTCTGAAGATCAACCGGTACACTCTTCAGGTATCTCAAAATTTGATACACTGCATGTATGTGGCTCTTTCTTGGATCATGCATTTGGGAACTCACCACGCTTACTGCAAATTATGTGCATGTCTCTGTGAGCAAGTCTAGCACTTACTTCCTCTGAGATAGAAACAATCTCTATGCTCCACAAGTCACCTCAATCCCAAGAAAATATGTAAGTTGTCTCAGATCATTCACCTCAAACTCTTTGCTCAAATTTGCTTTCAGCTGAGCAATCTCTCCCTCATCATCACCAATGACAATCATATCATCCACATACACAGCAAGAATAGTAATATGACCGTCATGTCGTCGAAAGAGCACTGTGTGGTCAGCATTTCGAACTTGTCAAACCAAGCTCGAGAAAACTGTTTTAAATTGTATAGTGACTTCCTCAGTTTACATACCTTGCCCACTTTTTAGTTTGTGTTGAAGCCTAGAGGTATCATCATGTATACCTTTTCTAGCAGATCCCCATGAAGGAACGCATTCTTCATATTTAGTTTGTTTAAACTCCATTCACCATTCATAGTCAGAGAGACCAGTGCCCTGACTGTGCTTCTATTTGTCACTGGTGCAAATGTCCCATCATAGTCGATGTTTATACCCTCTCGCTACCAACCGGGTTTTGTAGTGATCAATCTTTCCTTTTAAGATCTTCACTGTGAAGATCCATTTGCATCTGACTGCCCTTTTCCCTGTTGGTAGCAATGTGAGCTCTCATGTCATGTTTTTATCGAGAGCACCATGTTTCTAACAGTCTTTCATTTTGGATCCTCAGTCACATGCTAACATTTGAGAATATAGACTTATTCCAAAGATGCAATGAATGCTTCGTGTAAAGGTTATATGTTAGAGTATGAGATAAACTCACGATGTCATGTGAGAAAGTAAAACGATCCGGAGAATAATGATCAGAAAGATGACCCGCATTGTTGCAAGAGGTCCTCCTTAAAGTCATGGGAGTGGGAGAAGAGAGATCATATCACATGTATAATCGAATTTTGAGGTGGATAGTATATGTATCTCTAGAGTTGGGGTTAACCGGGACAAGTGATTTGTCGTCACGAGTGACGTGGCAGGCACTCTTTTCTCATTTCTGACTTCCTCGGTCGATCCTTCCCACACAATGGGAAAAGACATCATTCTCACATGTACCAATCTCTCGCCATCAATACTCTCCCCTTCTGCCTCATACCTCTAGTATCTAGCGAGTCACCTCCAAGGTGTAGTACAATTCAATTTCTCTAAAAGTCACACCCTTACTCATAGACATTCTCTTCTCTATTGAGCTCCAACAAACATACTCTTTCTGAGTGGGAGAATAAACTACAAAAATATATTTTGACAGTTTTGGGATCCAATTTCTCTATTGATGGTCTATTATCATTCACAAAACATACACAATAAAATACCTTTGATTGGAGAATCCCACCATTATCTCATTTCAAAACTCACAAGGAGGTTGTCACTCCAACTATCTTGAGGGTATTTTGTTAATCAAATGAGTGACTGTCAGAATAGCTTGCCCCACAAATGTTGTGGGACATTCGTCGAGATCATCTTACTTCGGGCTACCTTTAGAAGGTGTCGATTTTTCCTCGTTACTACTCTGTTTTCTGTCTGTGTGTATGGATATGTGGTTTGATGTTTTATCCCTTGGGCTAACATATATTTCCCAAATATCTTGTTGGTATATTTTGTCTCATTATCGAACCTCAATATATTCACTGCTGCACTGTATTGAGTCTGAATTGTCTTGTGAAAGTATTTAAAGCAAGCAAGTACATCACTTTCGTTTCTCATCAGATAGATCAAGCAACATGAGAAAAACACTCGATGAAAGTCACAAAATATCTGTAATTATTCATCGAAGTTGTTGAATAAGGTCATCATCATCAAATCATAAACATAGAGCTTCTATTACCAGAATTGATATAAGAGTTTATGACATGCTAACCAAACTCCCAAGCATCACACAAGTTTTTGTTTATTTGTTTTTCATGCAAAGATAGATATAATCGACTTAATAGATTAAATGAAAAGTGTCACATGCGTTTGTGATGTAACAGTAATACACCCTCCACACCCTCCACACTTTTCCCACTTCCTTTTACTCCACCACTCTTTATCATAGATGTCAAGATTGAGTCAATCACCTCTTTTTCCAAGTTAGATAAAGATCACCTTTGGAATATCAAATGAATAACACATTTTAGTTGAAGAATAATAGCACTAGTGGATAAAAGGTTCACTGGAAATGAATGAACATTAAAACACTGGACATAGCTATACAATTGGTATAACTCACTGTGCCCTTACCAACCACAGGTTGTATTGTACCATTAAATGTTTGAATGGTCTCTGAAACTGCTAGGTGAGTATAAGAAGAGAACTCACGAGCGACACCAGTCACATTTCAAGGTGCGCCAAAATCTATTATTTATTCAGTGATTTTTTTATGGATATAGAGGCAAGAGCATGTGTATCACGAGTAACTTTGATTGAGTCAGCATAAGTAACAATGTTCCTTTTTTATTATGATAAGGTTGATGTATCCTCAATCACATTATCTGATGCTCTTTGCTTTCTCTTCAACATCTCCAGGAACTCGTGATCATCATCTAAAAAGACCACCCTTGTCTCTCCCCCCGTTCTCCGCTATCATCAAATTTACCCGGTAGCCCCTCTTCCATCCCTTCGCAGTGTTAGGGCTAGGGCTTTGATACCAAATTGAAATAATTGCTTCAAAAATCTCTTTCATTCATTAAAGACTTGGGCTTATAAGGCCTTACAACTTTCCTTACAAACAAAACACTAGACATCTTCTATATTTTTTATATTTACAAATAGGACCCTAAACTATATATAATTCTCAAAAACTTTACTTCCTATACTTTTGTTAAGCAATGGAGCTTTTGATATTCTGTTTGAGCTTGTCATTTTCCCGGGATCTTTTAAAAATTCTGTACTAGATTCATGATAAAGATGTTTTCATGTATTCTTCGTCAGGACTCTTAAAGTGAATTATTTTATTTTAGCATTAAACCTCGTCTGTTCTTTTTTTTTTACCAAGGAGCATCTCTTTATATATGTCAGGGAGATCGTGTTTAGAAATTTGTAGTAACTGTTATCTAGCTAGAAATGTGCTTTTTGTGGTCTATACATGTCTTTTTTACTTCGTAGTTTAATTTCGCTTACACGCATTCTAGGTTCAAGCTTATTCTTGGTCAGCTACAGCTTGACAACCAGCTGCCGTTAACTGTGATGCCAGTTCTCTTGGCACCTGAAGACATGCCTGATACAAGTCATCCAGTTTTTAAGACAACAATCACTTCAAGTAATGACAGTTTAGATGGTGCTCAGGTCTTTCCATATATTTATGTTCGGGTAATCTATTTTCAAAGATACTCTCTAATTATGTATCTGAATTGTTATAGTGAAAAGCTGCAAAATTAGTAATTTGGATTGCGAGATAACAAATGTGGCAATGTCAGGTAATTGACAAGTGCTGGAAGATAAACATCCATGAACCTATTATTTGGGCATTGGTCGATTTCTACAATAACCTTCGTTTAGATAGTATCCCCAGTGCCTCAGAAGTCGCTCAAGTTGATCCAGAGATACGATTTGAGTAAGAATTCCATCCTTGTGTACTTTATGTGTGAATATAGTTTGTTTACCATTTTCGTGTTCTTATATAATTTAGGCTTTTTGACATTTCTACTGCTGAGATTAACTGATGTGGCTTAATTGTGAGATGATTATTGAGTTCATTAAAGTCTTATATAATTTAGGCTTTTTGACATTTCTACTGCTGAGATTAACTGATGTGGCTTAATTATGAGATGATTATTGAGTTCATTAAAGTCCTAATTCTCAAAAGCTTTAATTGTATGAATAAGTCAATCACATCTACTTTATTAATTGATCTTTGGCGGCTCATGTTTGTCTTATTTAGCGCTCATATCACTTATATGCTCACTGCAGTGTCTCGTGCATGCTTGGGAAGTGCTCAAATACCTTGATTTTAACCAACAAATCTACTTCAGCATTTTCACATTGTCGGCAGCTAAAAAGTTTGAGGGTGTTGCCCGTAAGAAGCTGTCGGTCGCTGGAAGTGAAGTCCCGTCGCCCACTTCGGGAGGACGTTTAATTTACATACCTATATAATTTTAGAAAAATATGGAATCAAACTGACCTCATATTTTTCACAGTTTAAATGAAAGAGCGCTCTACCTCAAATCTTGTATCTATCCCGAGGGATAAACACAAGACTTGAGGATGAGACTCGATCAAATAAACTAAGAAATATATGACATCCGTTTGGTCTGTGAAACCGTTTTATTTGCCGACAAGTTCCCCTATTTAATACAAAGGATTAAATAGGGTTTGTTTTATGCTGGGTTCGGAAAATTTTTTTATAAAGGCAAGCCCCCATAGTTAATTACATCTTAAATGATCGAAGTCACCTAAGAAAACTCTCGATAAAAATCA